ACATCCTGTGATTCTGTGATTCTGTGAAGGTTTTACTGGCTCCCACAAAAGAGATGCTCACACAGCTTATACATGGTGAAACCAAAAAAACATCAACTGGCCATGTGTAGCTTCACATACCTTTTAAAGGAAATTTAAGTTAGCTGCATGAAGAATTGCAAAAACTAATAGATAAACATTATAAAATCTCTCCACTGGTAGAGCAACAAGTGATTATGATGGTACATGCTCCAAATGTAAAAACATAATACCAGTATGAACTTTTAAATCTCCAAAAAGCAACCGAGTTCTCTCAACATTGTGGAGTCACAAATTCAAGGGTCTAATATCTTCTGCACTGCCAAGGCTACATGCAAATTCTTTATCCTGTTATAAGACCTGGAATCCCAGATAGCTAATGGGATAAAGCAGGTGTTTCTAGATCTGATGGTTCACAAAGTAATGGGTCTTAAAACACCACTGCTCCAGGTCTCCTTGTCCTTGACCTCAGATCAGAGTAGATATAAAGGAAAATCCCAGGGATAAGGTAAAAACTTTGCATGGATGTTCAGCCTTATTTGTTGAAATATATGCATATGTTCACTCATCTTTTCTCCTTAACTGTAAAATGGAAATAATTTATACATTACTATGGAGGAAAGGATTTATTGTGATCATATAACTTATTTTGTGTGCTGCATCAGACTTAGCTGAATTAGTACTTGTTTGGATTGGGGCACATCCTTTTAAAGTATAATACTGCTTTCCCTAGGCTTTGGGATATACAGATGAAAAGTGTTATAGAACAGTTCACTGACATTGCTATTACCAGTTAGGCTATTCGATGTGGATGTATATAATGTATACAAAACAGGCAATTTAAATTTAATACAGGCTTCTTAACTTTCATATCCTCTGCATTTTAGAATTTAGTATATGTTTTAAGGAGACTCTTCAGTACAAGGAAGAGCTGGTCTAAGCTCTGTAGCTGCCCTTTGGAATGAGAAAAATCCCTGAATGGCATCCAGACAGCTTCTAATGAAATTTATCACACAGAGAAAAGATTATGCATTTATACAGTCCACTACTTCTGGAATGATCCCTCAATTTCATCAGTGGTCAGGACTGAGCAGAGCAGACTGTTGTAAACTACAGAAAGGCAATGACTAAGACAGGGTCACCACCAACTACAGCACTAGAAAGCAAATGACTCTAAGGGATTTGAAGTAAGCCATGATAACCATGAATACTATATGCTTCGTACATTGAAGCATTGCAACAATTTTTACTTTATGCACATACTGAGACTATTCAAGAGCCAGGCAGTCAAGAATCTGCTACAAGTAGACAAATGAGAACACAAATCAGATTTGTGAATGTTTACATCTGATCTTGTAGGATTTTCCAGTCCACTTTCCATGTGCCAAATCAACCTTATAGGTTTGTCTATTAAGCGTATACAGGCTATCACTGAAAAAGAGAGACTGTCACAGGAAAAAAGGTAAGACAGGCTAATTTGAGAGTTGGTTGTGGAGCAGAAACAAACAAATCACCAGCACTCCAGAGGTTAAAAAATATACAGGAATCTTTTCTTGCCTATAGTCTCTCCAAGAGAAGACAAGGCCATAGGTAGGAAGGCATGGAAGCAAGCCTTCTGTTACTAAAAAAAAAAAAAGGTGCTGTTGTTGTACTTTATTCTACCGTATAAGTCAAAAATGTTTTGTTCTAGACAGGTTAGTTTTAGTTATTATATTCATCACTGTTCATAAGATCCAAAAGTGAAGAACAACACTTAACAAGAATAATTTTGATTGTCAAAAAGATGAACTGCAGCCTTGAGACCAGGCTGAAAGTGGGAGAATCATGGGATTTTATACCAGGAAGGAGAAATTCCAAGGCCTGAGATTGCTGAACTAAGGAAACGTTGAGATGGTCACAACAGCTTGTCTTGGAATTCAGAGCAGGAAGAAACACCATCTGGCCAAGACTTTTACCTATCCTCTTTGAGAAGAAAGCCAGCAGTATCACGATTGTGTTTCGTAACTTAATACACACTAGTTTGTACTGAAACCTAAGGCCTTTGAAGATACTGTAAGCATACTGTCCTTAGGCAATGTTTCTACTGAAGTCAGAAAATAAAATACAAGGTTTTCCAACTTTGTTCTTGCTAGAAAAACCCTTGTGTTTTTGACTTTTCCTAACAGAAGGAAGAATTACCTGATCCAAAAGATTTAGAACTGTATGAATTCCGCTTCAGTGACTTTCCTGTTACAGAGCATGGCCTGATAACTTGTGGAATACGACTGTTCTTTGAGATAAATGTTGTTGAAAAGTTCAAAGTTCCAGCTGAGGTCTGATTTATTTTTTCTTGTTTATATTTATTTTAAGATACAAGAAAAATAGCTGACTGTAGGTACTTTAATATAGAAGCAAGCAATACTAAAATATTAGTGGCATGGAACAATCTTCCATTCTTCATTAAACATCTGCAAATATTCATAAAGACTTAAAACTAATCTTGACATAGTGTGAGCTATGGAAGTAAATCAACACACATTTACATAAGAACAATTTGCTGTTTCTATGTTTAATTCAATTAAAAGCAATTATTTTCATAGAATGTGCACATTATTACAGTAATTTCATAGTATTTTCCAGGAATTTTATAAGAATGCCATCATTTTGTTTCAATTAACTGCACAGTCTTAATTACTTTTGTTCATAATAGGTCCTTACAAGATGGATGTACACAGTCAGGAAGGGTTATCGAGATATCACTTACCATAACTGGCGACATGGATTCAATGTGGGACAAACAATGTTTACTTTGCTGATGGTAATGTTGCTAGTATTAACCTTACATTCATTATTTAGTTTTCCTTTCAATTCCAGATGGAAAATTCAGAAAGGTACACACTCAGAATTGTCTGTTTTCTTTTACAGACAGGCAAGATAAAGAAATACTATACTGATCTAGAAGCATTCGCCATGGTGGCTGCTGCCTTCTGTCATGACATTGATCACAGAGGGACCAATAACTTGTATCAGATGAAGTAAGTACAAATGCTCAAATATATGGATATGTAGTATTTTTAGTGGCAAATGAATAAAACATGACAAAAAGTTGCAAAAATATAAGGTATATATTCCATATTCTTCTGGCATGGATGAAGATTTATCCTACAGAAGATTTCTGCCTCAGAGCATTTGTCATGGCAGCTGAAACACAAAGACAAAATTCAAATGCAGAATCTTAGAAGGATGTCGTGGAGCTACAATTTATTTTTAAGAGAGACTAAGCTTTTGGAATGCTTGGATTGTAGCAGAGCCTCATGCACATGAGGCCACAAAGAAATGAGAAAAATACGTTAAAATCCCTAACTGGATTACTTTTTTTCAAGACAGCACTTTTCTGGAGAGGGATTCAGGATGTGGCACAGATAAAAGCCAGTTTAGAGAGGGACAGGATTTAAGATAGATTCCTTTTCTCTGTTTTCTACTGTACCATTTGACTAGCTCAGTTGTTCCCCCCCTCAGTTTACTGATTGATGCAGGTCCTTTCCTGGGGTGTAATCTCCTCATGTTATACAGGATTCTGACCTAAACAGTTTGTGCTCTGGACTGGGTCCACATGCCAGTAAATTACACATCATGAGGTTAAGCTTTGCAATTCATGCTCCTTTTTTTTTTTTTTTTTTTTTTCTGAGAAAATATTCTAAAGGATTTCTTTGTGATTTTTTTCCCTTGTTTGTTATGAAACAATATTAATTAGTAGATGCTTGTTACAGAACAGTATTGATTCATTTGGTTTTGAACTTACTTTTTATTACAACATTAAATATCATGGTGAACCTTGCTCTTCTCCTGAAGGGTGAACAATCTACCATTTAGTCTTTTACATCATCTGTTAGGGCTTGTTTACATGTGCTAGCTCCAGAACACAGGTTTCTCAGAATGTCTCGTGTACCAGAAGATTATAATTCTCTGAGTACAGTTTCCCACCAACTGTATCTCCAGAATGATTCAGCCTCTTCCTCTGACCCTGGATACATGCCTCTCAGGAGAGGCATTTCAGCCTGCGTACTGAAGCAGTGACGTGAAGGGATTTTCTGATTATTCCCAGGGATTCTCCAGGTGACGTAGGAGAGAGAGAATGACAGATGCTGATTCTTATTCAGTCGCCTGCCTCTCATCCAAATAAGTTTAAGGGAGGTTTTAAATCTTCCTACTGTGGTGTTCCCTAGCTGAAAGCTCTCTATGTGAGGTCATACGCAGTAAAGCTATTTATAAAAGTTATCAGGCTTTACCAGGACAGTTCCTAATCACAAGTCAGAAAATACAGGTAGCATCTAGCAGTCTGGCCTGGGTTATCTGAGGAACTGAGTTATTAGCCAAGGAAAGAAAGGAGGAAAATACACTTCCAAGCATGCAGAACCACCTCGAGCCTACATAGATAGGCCACTTCTCCCTTCCTCCCACTACCATAGTCTGACACAGAATTTCCTCTGCTCGAAGCTTAGCCCAATGTCAGAGAATGCTTTGAGCATAATGTGATGAGACTGAATACACTTGAGCTGTCAATACTTGCGCAGTCCATAAAACAGTGATTCTGGGGGACGGGAGGAGCCCATGGGCCTTAGAGGAATTAAAGTCCATTATACTGTTACTTTAGATTTAATTTACAATAAGTTAGAATCACAGGGGACATGGCTCACAGACAGATGACTTAAAAAGCCATGACACACAATAAATACTAAAAAAATGCATAAAGGCTATTTTTAAGGTACACAGAACGTGCATAGATTAAGCAAACGTCAAAACTGGACACACGAGACAAAATAGAGACATGTTTTAAAAAACACACATTTTTCATTTTAAGGCATCTAACCATGCCTTTGACTTTAGTGGGCACTGAACACGCAGTGCTCTCCAATTTCCATCATTATTCAGTCACAAGAGTGAAGGCAAGCAAGCCTTTTTTTTTTTTTTACTCTTCATCACACAAATGCTAAAGATATATAGCTTAAGCTATTGAATATGAAGATCAGAACCATTGTAATCCTAAAAATCTGAATCCTGAAACAGAAAGTATTGCTTTGAAAATTTATTATAAATAATTGCTTCTTTTTCAACAGATCAGCTGCTCCTCTGGCAAAACTTCACGGCTCTTCCATTTTAGAAAGGCATCACCTAGAGTACAGTAAAACCCTACTGCAAGATGAGGTATGTCTGCATGAACCATCTACTCACACTGATCAACACAAAAGATACAATTAAGTTATGATGTTCCGAATTTCATTATGTCTCATTCATTCCTCTAGGTCCAGATAAAGAAATTACGCTAAAATTCTGAAGTTTAAACCAAATTCTTATGCATTGTCCACTCTTATAGAAACATCAGTAATTCTGCCAGAAAGAGACTCAGTCAAGACAGAACACCTTTTCCTCTGGGCCTCACTCACACTCAGGTTTTTTCTACTTTCACAAAACAGATGATGTTGAAACCAAAGCACAAAATACAATACATGCATACAAAATATTGTAATTAAACTGCTGCCCCTGGCTCAGGAGGCCTGAGTTCAGCTCATGGCTCTGGCAGCTGGAGAGCAAAGGAATGGAGCTGTTTATGGAGGGCCAGACGCACAGGCCAGACCCCCTCCCCCCCAACCTTACCTTGCTAAAACAGAGAACATAGTGTCATGAGGCTATGCTGCAGCTCTTGTTATTGATCTTCCCTGAATTAGGCAGACATCCTCAGCTGCACTTCCCCGGCAGCTGCAGAGATGAGGCTCCCCACCACACTCTCCTCAGGCTCAACAAGATGGTGGCAGCGCAGCCCGCCAGGGCTCTCTGCCCCACAGAGCCCTGCTCCTCTGGCAAGGATCAGCCATCCTTCCCTCAGTGGTGCCTGGTTCTGTCCTAGCTACAACGGAAGAGACTATTTACAACTCTTTTTTATAGAGTATTTTGTATTTGCAGAGAAGTAAGAAATTTAACAGGCTAGGCTTGAACACACATGCCTCTTCCATCCCACCTGTTCGCAGCAGCGTGGCAGGCACCCACTTCCACCCTCATTTTTCACTTTTTAATCCCTGTGGTGGTGCTCTTTCCTGAGCTCATGAGGCCACAGAATAAAAAATCCTTACACTAAGCAGTAGAACAATAACCTCAAAAAACCCCAGAAGATTTATGATTCAAAAAAACCCAGAAACCACCTTTACCTTTATTGATGGCGACATACTTTTTCAAATGTGAGATGCTGGGGACTAACCCCTGCTCTTTGCTGGAGCTGTTGTCAGGATCTCTAGAGGCTCTCAACATCAGCATTGCTGCACCCCACGCTCTCACAGGTATTGTCCCCTAAGTTAAAGAAGGAAGGAAAACCAGAACACTTAGAAAAATGCCGTGTGATGCTCTCATTCCCTTTGCCTGAGAAAAAGGCCATTTCACTTACTATTGTAGGTCCCTAACAGCACTGCAGGCTGACACAGGTTAACAGGAGGAAAAGGTGTCCACTGTGAAGCTTTAAAAAGTCTAGGAAAATTAGGTCTATGGAATGTGAATTGTAAAGAAATTATGAAGACTGACATTTCATGCGGAACACAGGTGGTTTTCTTTGGTTTTCATTTATATATGGCGACAGCAGGACTTGGAGCATTTTGAGTCCCTGTGGATCTGGTTATTTGTGCAGCCATCTTAGATCCACCTACCACTCACACACTTATTTACACATTTATTGGCAAGGAATAAGGGCCATCTTTACCAACTGAATATTTTTTCATTTGTAGCATTATTTTAATTTAGAGACTGCAGTTGGCCAATTTTGTTATACTATTCTGAGACAATCTGCATAGTACAAACCAAAGACAGCATTATAAAAGGAACTGAATTTGTACACTTTCCATCTTGCAGAGTTTAAACATCTTCCAGAACCTAAATAAGCGCCAGTTTGAAACTGTTCTACACTTATTTGAAGTTGCAATAATAGCAACTGACTTGGCTTTGTATTTCAAGTAAGTACTAAATTCTGTGTAACTTCCTTCTGAAAAAAATATCAATCATATACAATTTATAAGTGTAGTTTTTAATAGTTTTTAACAGTTTATATGCAGAGTATAGAGATGTTTATATGCAGAGTACAGAGCTATATTTAAAATTAAGTCTAATTACTGTTAAAAAAAGGAGATTCTTAGGTTCCTTATAAGCTTTCAAATTAGAGAACACATAAATGTATATAATACTTAGTATACATTCAGTAGGTCATTCAAATATGCTTTTAGTTAGAGCAAACACTGTATTTCAGAAGTGAGAATTATGTCGCCTAATCGTAGTGTGCATGTGTGATACCCAGAGTACCATACTACCATTACTCATACTAAATAGGAGCATGCTTATGACACAGAAATTAAGATGCTGTTTTAAAAAGAAAACTGCAGACATCAACAGAACCCAGTGCTAAATATGCCAAAGACTCCAAATATCAAATACTCCATCCTGTTCCTAAACTACTGATTTAATGTGCTTTTATAATGCATATCTTCCTTAAAGACATATGGAACCTTTTGGCTTGGTCCAGATTTCTTATGACTGGGACAATTTAAAGCCAGGAGAAAGGAAACAATTCTAACTTTAGATTTTTGAGGGGAGAGAGTGGACAAACATTTATTAGTATTTGCATCACTTTTCCCAATCCATTATTTTACAGGAAGTAACAAATAAGTAATACTAAAGGAATAGAATGTCACCCCAAACAGTTTTAATATGAAGAGTGAGGAAACTGGTTATTTTTTTGTCAGGAATTCTGACATAATACTTTACTCAGTGGAATATAGCAAAATCTAAATGTGCTAAGTTACTGGAAAAGTTTGAGTTCAACAGGAAGAAGGTGCCATGATACTACGATTAGGATACTACTTTGGAAAAGCATAAATATCAGAAATATGATTTTCTATTTCATTTTTAGTGCAGGAACTATATATATGGTTTATTGGTATCTTTTAACAGGAAAAGGACTATGTTTCAAAAGATTGTGGATGCAATTGAAAAAATGGAAACAGAAGAGGAGGCAATCAAATACATATCTATTGATCCAACCAAAAAAGAAGTCATAATGTAGGTGGTTAATATTTTACTCTTTATTCCATCAGTTATCAAGGACCAGATTTTAAAAGAATTTGGGCCCCTAAACATGCAAATTAAGACTTTGTATTATTGTCCGATGATGAGCATAATCATGATTTTAAATTAGAAATAGATGTCTATAATCTTCTCAAAATGTCTGTATCTTAGGTATCCAAATTCCTTAAAAAATCTAGACCTTTTTTTCCCCCCCTATTATCATCCTGACTATACTCTTGTTCCGTTTTGTGCTTTCAAAGGGCTATGATGATGACTGGATGTGATCTGTCTGCTATAACCAAGCCTTGGGAAGTGCAAAGTAAGGTAGGTACTTTTCAGACAGACAATACTGCATTTGCCTTCTGTTTTACTGCCTATTTGGTGCATTAAAAAAAAATACTTTTTTATAGTTATTTAAGTATCTGCACCTGTGTTTCCAGAAAACAGCTTCTACTTTTTTCTTACTGTGAGTGTAAAGGTTCCATGATGCCTCTCCCCAAACACTCTACAGATGCTCCAAACTTCTCTACTTGTCCTTCCGCTAAAATGGGCATCCCTGATTCTGTCAGCTGTTCCAGCTACCCTTAAATATCACTCAGTTATTTTGGTGCTATCCAACTTTTGTTATTTTTCAGGTATTTTTAAGTTACAGATTTAACAACAGTATGATTTGAATTAATTGTGTCTGTTCTGTAGATCTTGGTGCCATTTCGAAGTACTTAAATGTGCTAAAATTTCTGTAATACAGTGTGACACTGCTTTGTACATACGTACTTCGAGTACTTCAGTACTTCACACTGAAGCTCATCACTTAGCCTTAGAGGAACAGGTTTTAACAATGCATAATCAAAAATAAAACTGTAAGATGCTTGTGGAGCCTTCTAAGTAATACACATTACAGTTACTAGAAGATTCTGTTATGTTGCTTGTAATATTGTCTTGTTCCTAATCTATCATTTACTCAGCATACACCAGAATATTGTTACAGATAATTTACTGGAAAAAGCCTTAAGCAGACCAGAGAGTGTCTGTAATTTTTGAAAGAAGCACTTGACTACCTCTACATGGATTAAAGAGTGGAATTCTATTGTGTTTGACCAAAACTCCCTATTTCTGGAGTACTTTTTCTGAGATAAAACAGCTAGCAAGAAATAAGTCCTCTCTTTGTGGAAGGGAAGTTAGCAATAACAGTTAAGTATTAAACAGCAATATGCCAGTTCTTGGTTAATCAACATTTTCACATTTTCTGGAGAGCCTTATTCTTTTTTTTAATTTTATTTATTTAAATTGACTGCTTTCTGCTGACATTTCCACTGAATTGTGATTATTCAGGTTGCCCTCATGGTTGCAAACGAATTCTGGGAGCAAGGTGACCTGGAACGAACTGTGCTACAGCAACAACCAATTGTAAGTACTAAACAATTTAACTGTGTTAAGCAATATTAACTGTTATTAAACATTGAACAGATAATGGCCCATGATGCTTAACTAGATCATTATACCAAAAAGCATGATATCTACATAATCTAAATTACTGCTGTTCTGTTCTAGCCTATGATGGACAGAAACAAAGGAGATGAACTACCTAAGCTCCAAGTTGGTTTCATAGATTTCGTGTGTACATTTGTGTACAAGGTAAGAATAATTGTTTGTTTTCCCACTGCAGTTCTGATGGCAGGATTAGTGACAAACTGTTGCAGTTAAAAAATTCTAGACAGCAGCAGGACTCTTGGTCACAGGGTAAGCAACTATCACAACAGCCACAATTTTTCAATCTTTTGGTTACACAGAAGAATTGCTCCCACAGAGGAAATTTAAGAGATGTGAAGCTAATTCATAAACAGTGAAGATCTCAGTGAAACTTGAGGGTGCTGAGGTTTTGTTAGGACCTTGAAAGACTGAGTGAGAAAGCCCAGTCCGATTCAGTCCCATTTAATATAAATATGTAACATGTGACTGGTTACAGAAGGCAGTTAATGGCACCGCAAAGCTAATAGGAAACTTGCAATATTCTGGAAATAAAGATATTCTGTATTTTCTGCAAGGCACTAAAATGCCAACACTATTAATCTCTGTCTACCTTTTCATATTACCCCAAAATGCCATGCAGAAAAGTGACATGTAATATTTTAACATCTTAAGATACATCATCATCTGCTTGGAATAGACTATGGGATACTAGACTTTTTTATTATAAGCTGATACAGATAATCATATGATAAAATATCATGTATCATAGTTATATGATATGAATCAGATTATCAAACATGGAATTAAGGAAGATACTAGATTATGTAGTATATAGATCTTTTCTAACTGACTAAGTGCACAATAGAGCATTATTCCAACACAGTTATTTCCAATAATATGCCTCCAAGAAAATGCTTTCAAATGTGCACCAGCACGTACTCACACTATTTCTTTTAAATTTTTTTCTCTTCTACAGAAAAACGACTACCAGAGATTGAACAAGTGTTTGAAAAAACAAGTTAAATCAAATAAAATTAATTCATCTAGCATACATACTGAATGAGATTTAATAGAAAAATGAAAGCTAATGTTTTCTCTGCAATATTTCCACTGTAAATTTCAGATTTTACAAATCATCCGCATTCACAGATTTCTAATTTACTAATGTAAATTGTTTGTACAGGAATTCTCAAGGTTTCACAAGGAAATTACACCTATGTTTGATGGTCTTCAAAACAACAGGGTTGAATGGAAAACACGAGCTGATGAATATGAAGAGAAGATGAAAATTATTGAGGAACAAAAGAAAAAGGAAGAAGAAGAAGCTGCCAAAAAAGGTTAAGTAACTTCTAAGGTTTTCATTTACATATATTTGTAAGGCAGTCAACATATTCTCTCTTTCAAATTCACACATGCAGTGCACTCGTGCAATATTCTATTAAACTTTATACTAATGGTATATGAATTCCGAATTAGCCAAATTAGTTTAATCTTTACTTGGAAGGGGAGTAACCTTTAAAGATTATACAAATCCAGTACACTGACCTCATTTTCTAAATTGCAGAATTATAGAAAATATGACCATCACAAAAGTGAAGGGACTGTAAAATTTGTCTTAAGACTTACAACTGAATGCAATTAAACACTTATTTATCTGTGAATGTTGCAATCACCTGAAATATTAGAGATGTATCACAATTGTGTGGCATCAGCCCCAAATGTATTCAGGTGCTTTAAACTGAAAATGAAAATGTAAGGAAAAGAGATGGGAATGGATAGTGTGCATTTGGAACATAAAAAAGCAGTGCAAATCCCCACTTCTCTTCCAAGTTTAAGATAAAGCTTTTGGCTCTAGTTCCCTACCACCAGTTTCTTGGCTGAAATACACTGTGTCATATTACAAATTTAACACGAATCTTCCTAAGACACCTCAAGTCCTAAAACTGAAAGTATGATTCTGTACTGTAGATAACCTACAAGAGAATCTGATTTTATAGAAACTGAGAACCTATGATTCAAGCGTAAGAGTGCAATGAGTCCATTATTTTTATTCTCTATTGCCTGTAGAACAGCAGGTCAACAGCTCTGCTAATCAGCTGAGATGACTGAAAATGTTCAGAAACTAAAAAAAAACTTGTGTGATTACTACAGAATGATTTATTGCCAGATAGTTTGAAGAACAGTTAAAGTGTGTGTTTCACATCTTTAAAACATAAAGCACTACTGAATAATTTATTTGTTAATCAGTGCCTGTGGGAAATAGGTGAGTATTCTTCACATTTCACAAAAAGAGAGGCTACTCAAGGCCACTCACCAAGTTACTGTCAGAGTGTGAAGTGGAAGTAGACTTATTGGGTCCTAAAATAAATGATACTAGGCTAAAATTAAAAAAAAAATGTTGTTGCAAAGTTGTTAAAAAGTACTGTAAGTTACATAATTTAATCAAAGCAGATTTTTTAAAGGGAAGTTTAATAAAATGAGTTATATATTATTATTGTAATAAAATTACAAGAAATATTTTGGCCTGCTCACACTGTGATACCATTTACACACACTTAAACAGAAATTAGAGCCACACCACTGTGTCCCAAATTTATTTTTGAAGACACTTTTTTGCAATTAATAATATAATTTATTTAAGATTTATTGCTGAGAATTAGCTGGTTGTAAGTAGGAACACAGTACTCTTTCCTTGCACTGGAATGTAAGCACCTGAACTTCACAGAAATATCAACAAAACAAAACAAAATAACCCAGGACCTATACACAAACCTCTTTATACATTTGCTTTCTTGGAAAAGAGTATTGTTACTGAAGTCTGATCCTATGCCTTTAAGTAGTATATGGTTCTTAAATAAAAATTAAATTATACATTAGGAAGACTCAGGTTATTTCTACTCCCACCTGAAGTTAGGACCATCTTACATCATTGGTATTTTGGAATCACTTAGTCACTGACTTAAGGAAAGAAGTATTTTCCCCACAAGAAACCTTACAAGCATGGACAGACTGATTTGAGGAGCTAAGGATCTGACCTTTGCATATCATAATTGGTATCACAAAATTTAAGTTAATTATTTTGCATATTTTTAAATGTGCACTGGGATGAGACCATGCACATTTGCGAAGAACAGATATGACACTGTCAAATGAAGGCCATGTAAACACATGTGTTTGTTAAGTCAGTTCATACAAACAATAGTTCGATACGTGCTGAACCATGGTGGTTTCTCTAGATCACATTGACCTGGCTATTCTTAGCCATTCAGTAGACAGAAAACAAAATAAACATATTTGCTGAACCACTACAGTGGAAAGTTCAGAACAGAAACTAAAACAGAATACAGTATTAAACTAAGAAAATAAAATACATAGTTAGTAACATAGTATTGATTATATCCACAAATTACAAAGGGTAGGACACTGATTATGTGACATGTTTCAATGCAGGTGGAAAGGGTCGAAAATGACCTAGTAACATGGTGATCCACAGCTTTCAAATGTAAGTTTTAATTCTAATATTGGTATCTTACCTTACATGAACCTGGAAACTCAACTGAAAGAATCTTAAATATGACCAATGACCAATGAACATCTGTGGAATCATTTGAGAGAGACAGTAACAGAGTCAGTAGCTATAGACAACAAACATAAAAAGTGTCTCTCAGTTGGTGATTACAAAGGGATTCATGCAGGGTTGGATAAAGGCTTATACAATTAGGTCAAATTAAAGTTTTTGTATCATCTGCTTCACAAATAGATTCACAGATTATATTGATCCAAGAGTTTATTTCTTTTGCATGGCTTGCATACCTTAGTTTTGTATGTGTGGGACAGAGTTATATGTATTTAACTACTGAAACTTTCCAGTAAGAGTGGTTCAGTGTGTGTTTGGTCCTTTGTTGGTACTCACTGCACACTGTATACACATATGTATATATAGCATGTGTTATTGTTCCTTGCTCGTTTTTCCCAGACAAGTAGTGAAAGCATGTTCAATTTTCAGATCAAACGCACATAATATGCGTATCACAAAAGCAAAACCTTTTAGCAGGAAATTAGAGCAGCTAAAATTAACAGAAAATACTCACTTTACTTTCCTTCTCTGTTTTTTAGCTGAAAATGCAGCAGGAGCTGGTGGCGGAAGTGGAGAGGATGGAAAATCCAAAACATGTATAATTTTGTAATTCTTTGTCTCAGACACTGTTTCTGCTACAGAAAAGACATCTAGAAATAATTTCAATGAGCCCCAGAGGATTTCTTCTTCGCATAGAATAGTATAGATCAGTCTCTTAACAATCCTCTTAAAACGCCATTTGTTGGAAAGAATTTTTAATGGAGTAAACAAACAGTTACAATTAAAAACCGGAAAATTAAAAGATAATGGTGTGAAATTAGTTAACTGTGCACTCTAGATATTTTTTCATGTCACTCAATTTATATACAGTATTTTTATTAAAATATGTAACTTCTGCACACAGGAAAAATATAAATAATTTTGACAGATCTTGTATGAAATTACTGAATGAAATCTAACATGTAAAATTCAAGAAAAATGTACGATTTTTGTAACTTGTATATTTAGTTTTTTATATTATGTGTTATTTCCTTATTCTGGAATTGTCCTTTTCCTTCATTCTCAATACTATATAAGGTTCTAGAGCAAAATCTCCTTCACTTTAGGAATGCTCAGCATAATTCCCTGGCTCATATTTATTAAAAACAGGTCCACGGTACACAGTATTTCTCCAAACCTACCAAGAATAAATCTGTAAACTGTCGCCATCGTTCAGAGAAACCGCTCT